TCATCGCAGGTCCTTCACTGAGCATCAAAGTCCATCAGGATCCACCATCAATAATAGGAAGTCCTGAAAATCCAGCCAAAATCAGCTGCAACCACTCAGTCAGCACATACAATACGATGTTATGGTACCAGAAGCTGAAGGGAGACTCTTCCCTCAGACTTATTGGATACATGGTTCATGCTAACCCAACCTATGAGGGTGAACTCAAAAATCATTTCACTATGAGTGGAGATGCTTCATCCAAATGTGAGCTTCAAGTGCTGAAACCCAACACAAACGACAGTGGTGTTTATTACTGTGCAGCTAGTAGGCACAGTGACTCAGTTACCTTCTCTCCTCTACAAAAACCCTCTCTGATAATCCACCACGTGAATCCACACTGAACCAATCCACACCTGTGTCTCAGGCAGGAAATCAGGGACAATATCAGCGTTAAAAGCGTCTCTTCCTGTGTGAACCCTCCCAGCAGGATACTGTAGAAACCCACTGATGACAATGTGACGCCCAGAACGTCGACCTCTGCTCCTCCTTCACATCCAGGCAGCTCGCTTCAGTTTGAAGCTCATCATTAGATTTTTGTTTTCATCCGATTGGGATCATGATCAGAATCTTCATATACTTAGCAGCTCTGACACTCTGTTTGACAGGTAAGAAAAAAAGTCTTTCTTTTGAAAAAAAAAACAATCACCCTTGTTTACTCTCACCTCTAACGCTGTTCATTTCTTTTTTTGCAGCAGAAATCTCAAAAAACAGAGTTGATCAGACTCCCACTGCCCTGATTAAAGCTCTCGGAGAAGAAATCCAGATACAATGCAACCATTCGAACAGTGATTTTGATATGATCCAGTGGTACAAACAGTCTCCGGGGAAAAATGACATGGTTCTACTCGGCCATGTACGGTTCAACAGTCCAGCTGTTGAAGATGCATTCAAGAACATTTACAACGTGACTGGTAGTGGCAGCAGTCTGTCGACTTTTCATATTCCCAAGCTGAGGCAGTCTGTGGACGACGCAGTGTATTTCTGTGCTGCCAGTAGAGCACAGTGCTGCAAAAACCCTCCGTGTTAAACAAAAACCTTCTCTAATGCAGACAGTGATTCACCTGATGATAACAACGTGAGCAACAAATAAACCACATGAGAGTGACTGATCAGACAGCTGGTTCACTGTCAGACAGCTGCGTTCTTATTCTAACCATTAGGGTGCAATGTTTCTCTACAGGTTATGAAACATACTTTCCTGCTCACATCTATACAGATAAACAATGTGCGCAAGATTTCACGTCATTTGTGTGTATATTTGTAAAAATAAAAGCTAAAAATCACATGAGAATTTCATCTGAAGAGACGGGATTTATAAAACAACAGATTATTCTCTTTTTCATTGGAATAAGAAAGTCTGCTGAGTTTAAACTAAAACTTTCTTTGCCTAATTTCATGCCCAAGATTTAGTTGTGATAAGCTGGTCCACTGGTTGGTCGATACACTGCCATCCAAACAAATTCTCACATCAATAAGGAGAAAAAAGCTGAATCAGTCATCTCCTGGGAAAAGGATCAGACTGTATCTTTCAACTATCATTCAACCTAACAGAGACTGCTAGGTCGAAGAGTTGTTTTTTTCCCATTTTACTGGCTGCGTTGTTGGTTAATGCTGGAGTAAAAGAAGTCAGTATCAAAAACAAATTATTCATTTTTATGTTGAAGGGAATCAATACTCAGTGTGTTTAACTGATATGGTCAAAAACTGATAAACTGGATGAATGATTTCCTATTTTATTGTAGGTATCAGTGTGTTGTTTAAAGTTTTGATTAGACAAAGCGGGATTTTAATAAACTGATCTGCTTCCTCCTCTAAAAGTCAACATCTACTTACAGCTAACCAGAAATTCAGACTGACCAATTGACCTTAATGTTATTACAGTGTAATGCTGCCTGCACCACGGAAAAATCTGTTTGGGAATGTGTCGAGGAACACAACAAAGAGCCCAAGGTGCTGACAAAACCTCCAGACTCCCCAGTCGGATCACGGATGCTTGATGCACCTGAACAAGGTCCCTCCACGTAGGCAATACTACTCACATGGTCTTGCAGAAAGTCACATAACCACAAGCATCGCAGACAGAAACAAATAGACAGGTCGGCTACACCTCCTCTCTACCTTCACTTTAATTTCAAACCATAAAAGTTGTCTACATAAGAGTTGTCAAAAAATAAAACCAGCCACAACTATCAGCTCGTGCTAGCATTGTAAAACCCACTGAACTGGAATAACATTTTCACTGGTCAAAGAGAGCCTCAAACCAGCGACAAAGACTCTCATACTGAGCTGAAATTAAACAATCACATAAAGGGATATAGTTGTTTTGGTTGAACACTGGACTTCATGTGCAATTTTCCAGTGTAGTGCAGGAGGTCCCTCTTGGTCAGTTTATAGGCAACAGTTTCTATGGGAGGAGCTCACATGCACCAACATCCTCTAGCATGCACATGTGACTGAACCGGCTGCCAACACATAGGATAGAGAAGCTCAGAATAAAGAACAACAAAGATATACTATTTATTATTGTATATATTAGAGTGCTACATTATCAGGCATTAACATAAATACCATGTTCCAGGTGGTTTTCGATTTATTTGCCCATCCATCTGTTTCTACATCGCTGCTATTCGTTCATGTCATGAGGTTTGCTATTGAGCTACTTATACAGACCCAGTGGGAAGCAGTGCTGGTTGACAAGACAGTCCCAATGTTCAGAAGAGGAGGAGGTGCAATGAAACCACCCACCTTCTGAACATACAGTGATGAAAACTGCTCTAGAAACGACACTGACTTTAAGTTCAGTCAGAAAACAACAAAATGATGACACTCATTGTCTGCTGCATAACCTTAAATATCATACTGGTCTCTGGTAATGTATAGAAATGTCTTTTACAACCAGAGATTTAAAGAAAGCAACAGGTTTTTAATGTGACAAAAGAACGAACAGTTATCTTTCCAGTTCTTTCAAAGGTTGCCTAATTGGGATTATGCTGAATATTGTGTTGTTTTTGTTGTCTTTTCCACAGGCTCCTCTTTAAGAGATCAAATTTACCAGATCCCAGCCAACATTTACAAAAATCCTGGACAATCAGCCAAAATCCACTGCTCACACAGCATTGAAAGCTATGATCATATCCTCTGGTACAAACAATCGAAGAACAATCAGATGCAGCTCCTGGGACACATGTATGGCAACAGTGGACTTCCAGAGACTGGACTCAACGTGAAGATAGATGGGAGTGCGAAAAAAGACCAGAACAGCACATTATCAATTGAAGGACTGAGCCTGAGCAGCAGTGCAGTTTACTTCTGTGCTGTTCGCGAGCACGGTGCTACATATCAGAGATCCTCAATACAAAAATCTCCTCATTGCTGCTTTTCATCTACAACAGCGCCCAACCTCTTGCACCTGTATCACTTCCTTTGGTAAGGTGGCAGTACATGTGTGATTAGAGCCTTGTACTGAACCCGTGGCAGAAATGACACCAGCCACCTACAAGGAACATTTTGCAGATAAGAGGGTTAACTCAAAAGAGGAGGCTGGAGAGAATCAGCACAACTGCAAGAATATCTAAACTAAGCAAAAAGCCAATATAATACCATAAACATCGTATTGCTTACCATTGAACACAGTGCTGGTTTCAGGTAATGTCATCAAAATATGAAATCATTTTAACTCACTGTCATCACACAGTTTTAATCCCTGTATAGCATCTCACAACCTCCTGCAGCGATGTTGATTCATCCTGATTAATACTGTTTTTCTTTTTGTATAAATGGAAGGTTCTCTTTATGAAGCATCTCATAAAGAGGAGAACCACTTCATAAAGATGTTTATTCCATAGCTGGAGCTGTTGCATATTGTTGTACTTATGATCAGATTGTTCTTGATATTCATTTTTTTACCATTTTGAAATATAAACATGTCTCTCTGGTCATTGATTAAATCCCTAAAAACTCATCTCTGTCTAAGTTACATATTTAGAACGTTTTTTTTAATGAAGATAATCTGTTTCTGTCTTAAAATGGCTTAGATGTACAATAAGTCTACAACATTGCTTTCTTTTAAACGACTAAATTAATTTCCAACACATTATCTCAGTTACGACTCCGCCATTGCTGTTAAAGTACTCTACAGAACCTAATAATTGGAGTAATTGTACCGCACAAGATCACACTGGAAACCAATTCTGAAGAAGTACCATGATACAATCCAACCCTTCAAGTTGACAGGATTGGATAGTTAGATTTCCTACATAAGAGTTCCTACACAAAAGTTTGAATCTGCTTTAAGACTATCATTGGTACGCTGAAAACAATCAGCCATGGTGCTTATTTTGTTCACAATACATATATTTTTTTTTAAAACACCATTTTGACATTTGAACAAGGTAAAGAACTACATTTTTACCACAAAAGGCCTTTATAGTTGATTCAGCTACATGCTAACAATAAAAAATTACTAAAATATGAATTGTTCATTCAATAATCCCCCCAAAATTTAAGATAAACTCTATAAATTTAGATGGCATTACTACAAGGATTATAACAGGTACTTGTTGTGTTGCTTCCTTTCTTTAGATGGCAGTATATCTGTACTGATGTAGTGGTGTGTGCTGCTAGCTGATTGGTTATAGAGTTTAGAAAAGAAGGAAGACACAAACCCACCTTAAAAGTTTTGTATCATTGACTGGAGGGTTTCCTCAGATAAGGAGGTGGAGATATTCAGCGTACACTGTTATACACATACATAATATCAACTAGACTGATGTTACATGCAGTCAAATACCACAACATCATGATCATCTTCTTCTGTATAACCTTAAATGTTATACTGGTTTCAGGTAATTAAGTCTAAATTGTACTTTCAAATACTATATTCACTGTTACCTTACAAACATTGAGGTTGCTGGAGCTAATGAGGTTGTAATTTGCTTGGAATTAAGAATTTTTGTGTCCTTGTGCAACCAGAGATTCAAGAAAAGTACTTGAATGCATTTAAAGAATGGAACATTTTCATATTTCATCAACCTAAACTGATGTTAGCTCTCAAACTTTTTGAACAGGTTCTTCTCAGAGCGACAAAGTCCGCCAGACACCAGCTGAACTGTACTACAGACCTGGAGAACAAGCCAAAATCAACTGTTCACACAGTGTTCAAAGCTACGATCAAATCCTCTGGTACAAACAATCAGAGAACGATCGGATGGAGCTGCTGGGATACATGGTCGTAAACGTCGGCTATATAGAAAGTGGAGCGGACGTGAAGATAGACGGGGGTGCAAATAAAGACGAGACCTGCGTTTTAACAATGGAAGGACTCAGTGTGAACAGCAGTGCAGTTTACTTCTGTGCTGCTAGTTACCACAGTGTCACATATCACTGATCCTCAATACAAAAACCTCAGAGCCACTGTTCTCCCCCTGTTTTGCAGATTCATTTCCTCCTTTCATAAGGTGGCAGTATAACTTTACTCAGACTTGTTGATTATACGAATAGGCTGAGGATATAGTAAGACTCCACCCATTTCGTGATGGTTTCCTCATGGGAAGGGAAAAAAAAAAAAAAGGAGGTACAACTGCTGATGCGCTGAGAAGATCTGTCATAGCAAGAGTACAATTATTGCCAAACAAAAAAAGACACCATGATCATTCTATTCTTCAGCATTCTTTTTAGCATTCTAGTCTCTGGTAATTTAATGCATTTTAATCAACTTATATTTTTATTGCGTTGGTAGCCAGTATTACACAGTGCTGCTACTCTAGCTGTAACTGGATTATGCTTTGTTATTTTACTACATTACTGAATCTATCACAATCATTTTTTGTTCAACAGGTTCCTCGTTCAGCGACAAAGTCCGTCAGACTCCAGCTAACATTTACGACAAACCAGGACAAACAGCCAAAATCCAATGTTCACACAATATTCCAAACTACTACAGAATCCTCTGGTACAAGAAGTTAGAAAGACAGCTGCAGCTCCTGGGATATATGGATTATGGCAACGCTAGTCCAGAGCCTGGACTGGATGTGAAGATGGATGGAGATGCAAGTCAAGGCAGGAACTGTACATTAACTATTGAAAACCTCAGTGTGAACAGCAGTGCAGTTTACTTCTGTGCTGCCAGTCTGCACAGTGCTGCATAACACCGATCCTCAGTACAAAAACCTCCTCGTCTCACAGTTTTCATTTCTGTACAACAGTTAACACCTGGAATAAGCCATTCTAACCAACGTTGGTCTCACACAGATCAGATAATATAATCCTCATGTGCAGTAATGCAACATTTAACCTGCAACATCCGGGTAGAAGAAGCAAACTCATTTTAACACTATGATAAATCACACACTCACATGTTGCCCCCCAGCTGCTGGAACTGTTATTTTATTGTTAATTTTGTTCTATTTTATTAAGTACAGTTTTGATATTTATACATATTTTATTATTTTATTTAACGATTATTTTGAATAACTATTATTCATTTGATTGTGCTTTATTTTATTCTCATTTTCGAGTGTTTCACTAGTAATCAATTTATTTATTTCACAATTTTATTTTTATTGTAACTCCTGTTGGGCTAAAAATCCATCTATTCAGACTTTTGTGAAACATTCTCTAATTTTGCAGTTTTAATATTTGCACTTTTTAATTTTTTATTTATTTATTTTTTTTGACATTTTACAGTTTTCTACTTATCGGTTTATTTCATAATTTTATTTTTATTTTAAGTCTTGAATAAAATACATTTGAAAGGAAGCATCTACTTAGTTTGTTTCTTATTATTGAAGTGTTCTGTAACTTCATTGCTTGGGTATTTAATATGATTTATTAATCATCATTATTATTTATTTTTACTCTTCTATTCCCTTTTTACAGTTTTTCTAACACTGATTAATTTATTTAATAATCTTATTTTTATTGTATTTATTAGTGCTTGTATAATTATTATTTATTTATTCATATTTATGTTCTATTTTCTTAACCACTCATGTCCTATTTGCCTGTTTTAACACTTAATATAGTAAAAGGCAACGTGCTGCAAATAGTTTTCTAGTCTAATAGTGTGTGGGATTAGAACTAGTCTTTGTTGTGTTCCTTCCTTTCTTTAGATGGCACTATATCTGTACTGAAGCAGTGGTGAGTGCTGCTAGATGACTGGTTTCAGAG